CCCCAGTCTCATGGCAACCCCACGCACAACCGAATGAAACACTGCCCAGTCCTGTGCCATTCTCATGATCACTTGGAGATCAGATCATTGTGATCCATAGGGTTTTCACTAGGTGATTTTTGGGAACAGATTGCCAGGGCGTTCTTCCTAGTTTGTCTTAGTTTGGAAGCTGCACTGAATCCTGTTCAGCCCCACCACAACATGCAAGCCTCCCCTGACAGACAGGTGATGGTTGTGTATGAAGTGCATTAGCCAGGAACTGAACCCAGGTCTCTGGCATGGAAGGCATCTGTTTCTAACACTGAACCACCAGTGTTCCCAGGACTGGAATAGAGAGAACTTTTTACTTCACAGGAAGTGCCTGGGTGGTGCAAATGGTTAACACATTCAGCTGCTAACTGAAAAGTTGGATGTTCGAGTTAATCCATAGGCACCTTGGAAGAAAGGCCTGGCAATCTACTGCTTGAAAATCAGCCATTGAAAACTTAAAAAAGAAAGAAAACCCTATGGAGTACAGTTGTACTCTGACACACATGGGGTTGTCCTGAGTTGGAATCAACTCCATGGCAACTGGTTTTTGGTTTTACTTTACACACCTGTGAATTGCTTGAATTTATTAGTAGACCAGTTTGTTTACGTGATAACCCAACTCAGACTAACATACGCAAAAAGATGGAAAATATTGAATGGATAGCGGGCCAACTCACAGAATCAAAGAAAAAGTTGAACAACTAAGCCATGGCAGCAAGGGCTGATTAACCAGTAAGCAAGGTACACATGGGCTAAACTGTGTTTACTTACTAACTTGTGGTGCACCGTTTCACCATGTGCACAGCAACGTACCAGTTACATATAAATTAATTATCCAATTAGCCCAGGATCGGGAAAAGGGGGAATTAGGACAAATCTTGCCCTCTCAACAATGACTCCACTTCGTGGTTAGTGGAATTCACCTTCGCCTGGGAAAAAAAAGAGCCACCAAGAGGCTGCTCAGTGAGAATGCCATTTTCAACTCAAAACAGTAGTTTTGAGACTAGTTTGAGTTAGGATTCTTCCACATTCAACCAAAAATTCCCAATAAACAATCCAAGTACAGATCAATCAAGACTGGATAAATTACAGCACAATAGAGTATTATGCAGCTATTAAAAAGAGACTAGGTATATTGACATGAAAACAAATCCAGTACGTAAGGGGGGAAACAAGTTTACAGGACGGCTGTGTGTGTGTTTGTGTGTGATTTTATAGACACACGTACTTTGGGAAAGAGAAAAGGAGACTATACGCCAAAATGTTAATATTGGTTTCCGCTGGAGGCTAGGATGGGCAAGACTTTCATTTTTTCTTTTTATATACTTCCGTATATTTTTTGACTTTCCAAAAAGTATATATTCCTTTTGTAAAACTTTTTAAGCCAAAAATCACTACAGGACATTAATTGTGGCATATTTATGTGATACAGCTCTCACTTCATTGTCACTATTCTTTATAAGAACAGAGGACTAGGAATTTTGAGACCCAAGCTTCTAGTCCAAGCTGAGTTTCAAATGTGTCCTACAACCTCAGGCAAGTTGGTTTGCCTCTGAGGGCCTCAGTTTCTTCCTACAATGGATGCTTGATATAAGAGTAGCTAATATCAGCAGTCAGAACAAGGCCAGGGGCCAACTGTGGAACAGACCACCAATTGCTCATATGCAAGTTCAAGTTAAAGCTGAAGAAAATTAGAACAAGTCCACAAGAGCCAAAGTATGACCTTGAGTATATCCCATGTGAATTTAGAGACCATCTCAAGAATAGATTTGACACACTGAACCAGACGAGTTGTGGAATGACATCAAGGACATCATACATGAAGAAAGCAAGAAGTCATTAAGAAGATAGGAAAGAAAGAAAAGACCAAAAAGGATATCAGAAGAGACTCTCGAACATCAAGTAGCTAAAGTGAACCGAAGAAATGATGAAGTAAAAGATTTGAACAGAAGACTTCAGAGGGCGACTTGAGAAGACAAAGTGAAGTATTATAATGACATGTGCAAAGACCAGGAGTTAGAAAACCAAAAGGGGAAATGAGCACACTCAGCATTCCTCAAGGTGAAAGTACTGAAGAAAACATTCAAGCTTTGAGTTGCAATAGTGAAGGATTCTATGGGGAAAATACTGAACGACGCAGGAAGCATCCAAAGAAGATGGAAGGAATGCACAGAATCCACCACAAAAAGAATTGGTGGATGTTCAGTCATTTCAGGAGGCAGCATATGATCAAGAACTGATGGTACTGAAGGAAGAAGTCCAAGCTGCACTGAAGACACTGGCGGAAAAAAGGCTCTAGGAATTGACGTTATACCAATTGAGATGTTTCAACAAACAGATGCAGTGCTGGAAGTGCTCACTTGTCTATGCCAGGAAATTTAGAAGACAGCTACCTGGCCAACTGACTGGAAGAGATCCATATTTATGCCTGTTCCAAAGAAAGGTGATCCAATTGAATGTGGAAATTATCAAACAATATCATTAATATCACATCCAAGTAAAATTTTGCTGAAGATCATTCAAAATCGGTTGCAGCAGTACATTGACAGGGAACTGCCAGAAATTCAAGCCAGATTCAGGAGAGGATGTGGAACAAGAGATAATCATTGCTGATGTCAGATGGATCCTGACTGAAAGCAGAGGATACCAGAAAGATGCTGCTATGGACTGAATTGTGTCACCCCCCAAAAAATGAGTGTCAATGTGGCTAGTCTATGATTTCCAGTATTGTGTGATTGTCCACCATTTTGTCATCGGATGTAATTTTCCTATGTGTTTTAAATCCTACCTCTATGATGTGAATGAGGTGGGATTATTGGCAGTTATGTTAATGACATAGGACTCAATCTACAAGATTAGGTTGTGTCTTAATCTCTCCTGAGATATAAAAAAGAGAAGTGAGCAGAGAGATATGAGGACCTTATACCACCAAGAAACTAGTGCCAGCAGCAAAACACATCCTTTGAACCAGAGTCCCTGAGGACAGAAGCTCCTAGATCAAGGGAAAATTGATGACAAGGATCTTCTTCCAGAGTCAACAGAGAAAGCCTTCCCCTGGAGCTGGCGCCCTAAATTTTGACTTCTATCTTACTAGATTGTAAGATAATAAAATTCTATTTGTTAAAGCCATACACTTGTGGTATTTTTGTTACAGCAGCACTAGATAACTAAGATAGATGTTTACCTGTGTTTTATTGACTATGCAAAGGCATTGGACTGTGTAGATCGTAACAAATTATGCATAACACTTGAAAGAACGGGAATTCCAGAACACTTAATTGTGCACATGAAGAGTCTGTACATAGATCAAGAACACAAGGGGATATTGAATGGTTTAAACTTAGGAAAGGTGTGCGCCAGGGTTGTATCCTTTCACCATACTTATTCAATCTGTATGCTGAGCAAGTAATCCAAGAAGCTGGATTATATGAAGAAGAATGGGGCAACAGGATTGGAAGAAAACTCTTTACAACCTGCGTTATGCAGATGACACAACCTTGCTTGCTCAAAGTGTAGAAGACTTGAAGCACTGATGAAGATCAAAGCCCTCAGTATGCATTACACCTCAGTACAAAGAAAACAAAAATCCTCACAACTGGACAAATAAGCAACATCATGATAAACACAGAAAAGACTAAAGTTGTCAAGGATTTCATTTTACTTGGATCCACAATCAACACCCATGGAAGCAGCAGTCAAGAAATCAAACAAAGCATTGCATTGGGCAAATCTGCTGCAAAAGACCTCTTCAAAGTGTTAAAAAGCAAAGATGTCACTTTAAGGACTAAGGTGTGCCTGACCCAAGCCATGGTGTTTTAAATCACCTCATATGCATGCAAAAGCTGGGCAATGAATAAGAAAGACTGAAGAAGAATTGATGCCTTTTTGAATTGTGGTGTTGGCGAAAAATACTCAATATACCATGGACTGCCAAAAGAATGAACAAATCTGTCTTGGAAGAAGTTCAGCCACAATGCTTCTCAGAAGCAAGGATGGTGAGACTTCATCTCACATACTTTGGACATGTTATCAGGAGGGACTAGTCCCTAGAGAAGGACATCATGTTTGGTAGAGGGTCATTGAAAAAGAGGAAGACCTTCCACGAGATGGACTGACACAGTGAATTCAACAATGGGCTCAAGCATAACAATGATCATGAGGACAGCACGGGACCAGGCTATGTTTCCTTCTGTTGTACACAGGGTTACTATGAGTCGGAACCAACTCAATGGCACCTAACAACACAATATTTCGGTGGTTTCTATGTGCCAAGCATTGTGCTAAGCAGTTTCCTCACCACAGCTCCATGAGTTAAGCATTATGCCCATTTTCCAGATTGAAAAAACTGAAGCACAAGTGAACACTGGAATTAGAATTTAAAGTAGTTTAGCTGACCCCAAAAAGCCATGCTCTCACCACTGCACCACTCTCCAGCTCTCTTGCCTAACATCTGTTTCCTGGTGCTAACACACACTTAAGCCCAGGATTCTGACTCAAAATTCTCTTCCTGGAAAATCCTATCATTCTGAGTTAATCCCTGATCACTTTTATTATAGTTATGTTTATTCCTTATGTTGTATCAAACTCTAAAACAGAGTGTCTCAACTTCAGCACTGCTGACATTTCAGACTGATAATTCTTTGTCCTGGGGGGTTGTCCCGTGCATTGTAGGATATTTAACACTATCCTTGACCTCTACCCACTAGATGCCAGTAGCACTCAACCTCCAGTTGTGACACCAAAAATGTCTTCAAACTTTACACCAAATGTCCCCTGGGGTCAAACTTGATCCTGTGGAGAACCACTGTTCTAAAAGAAGGAAAAAGCCAAATTCCCACATTAACCCTGAAGGGAGACCGGATTGAAAGGAGATACTAAATCTAGTAAATATTTTTTTACCTTCATGATTCTTTGACTTTATTAGCTTGGGTTAAAGGCACATCCTAGTAACTCACAATTATTGTCCACGTACAGAGCAGTATACCAATATAAAAGTAATTATCCAATTATTCCAGGATCAGGAAAAAGGGAAATTAGAACAAATCTTGTCCTCTCAACAATGACACCACTTTGTGCTTAATGGAATTCACCTTTGCCCGGGACAAAAAAGTGTCACTGAGAGGCCAGTGAGTGAGAATGTCCTTTTCAACTCGAAACAGTAATAACTGAATACAATGCTGATTTTATTTCCAACTAAATCAGGCGATGCACAAGTCATCTGGGCAATAAACTTAACTTAAGGGGCAAAAGGCAAGAAATTTTTTTAGGCTCTCTTCCACACCTCCTCTCAGAAAACGTGGATTAACAAATCTTATGTTAAGAAATACAGGAGAAGAGAAAAAGAGAACACTGAAGTTCATCTGATGTGCCCAGTATAAGGTGGTTTCCATTCTCTTTTCTGTGAACTGCTCCATCAGCACGGGCCACTTCGGACTATTTTAATATCGCTACCATCTTCTCTGCAAGTCAACAAATATGAAATAATTATTACCTACCATACTGAAACTGTTCCACTATTTGCATTAAAAATACCCATGTCATCATTATTACTATTATTTTTCCTTCCAGGGCTACACTTAATCATTTTTTTTTTTTTAAAGCTAAACCAAGGAAAACTTACCCCAAAACAAAACCCACTGCCGTCGAGTCGATTCCGACTCATAATGTAGAACTGCCCCATAGGATTTTCAAGGAGGGGCTGGTGGATTCAAACTGCTGACCTTTTGGTTAGCAGCCTAAGTGCTTAACCACTGTGCCACCATGGCTCCAAGGAAAACTTAACTAGGGTGAAAATCCCAACTCTGTCATTTTTTCCTTAACCCTAGGGCAAAGGGCATTAACGCCAAAGAATCACTTTGAGATCAGAGAATGGACTCCCTAAAATACAAAACAGCATAGTGGAGGGGATGTCATAGTCACCTGGTCACTTGTGCTACATGAAGGGCATCACGGGTAATAAACTTACTACTAAGGGCTCTATTAAGTGCAGCTATGAAGTCATACCTCTTAGCTAGTAGTGCAGTGTGTGCAGATGACCTGCACATACCCTTTGAATTTAAAAGAAAACGTAATATTCCTTGGGGTCTAACTACAAAATCCTCTTAATTTTGGGAAACTGCCCATCCACAATAGTAACCTGACTTGATTATCTGGTCTACCGTTGATTAATCACACAACTCACTGAAGGATGTTGTGTTTTTTTAAATGTTAGTCTAAAAACTGAGAACCACCTATGTCACATATTATACTTATCTGTAACAAAAGAGTCACTACTTCCTAAGTAATCAAAATTCAAGAAAAGAAAACTTGGCTGGCTGATAGCTGTAAAATTGTTACCTGATTTTCATGCACAGGGTACACTCATTGGGATATGTGGCCATGTCACTCCCACACACGGGGCTGAAGTCCCTCGGACATCCTGGTAATTTATACTGGTCGCATTCTGGCTAGAAAACAGAAAAGAAAAGAAAAATTAGAGAATAACTTGAGAAAACTCATCACAAGATAGTTGAACCAAAAACCAAACCAAACCTGGTGCCCTCGAGTCGATTCCGACTCATTGGGACCCTATAGGACAGAGTAGAACCGTCCCATAGGGTTTCCAAGGAGCAGCCCGGTGGATTCTAACTGCGGATCTTTTGGTTAACAGCTGAGCTCTTAACCACAGCGCCCCCAGGCTCCACGACAGTTGAGGAAGGAGGCAGTATCTCAAATCTACCTAGATTTCCTAGACACATCCTACAAAAATATTTCTATTTCCACAAAAATCACTTTTCTAACATAAAGATCATATCATTTCATTCATCTACTTAAAATCCGTGGTAGGCTATATTACCATTCAAAATACTAGCTTCCCTTCCCTGTAGTGCTCCTATCCCTGAGGGAAAATCATATATCCATGGCCTGCTGATGGTCAAACTGCTGTGACTACTTAAAACAGGGGCAAAGTGAATCGCTTCTGCACATAAGCCTTTAAGAGCCATTGCATAGTAAGTTATGGCTTTTGTCCCTTTGCCAAAAACCATCAATGCCCCCAATAGGATCTAATTCATTGCCTCCTAAGCCAAATTATCAAACAAAGAATGGTGCAATTATGCCAAGTGTAAGTCTGTATAATAGAGATGAGAATAAAGTATAATATTGGAAGTGGAGAAGATAGTAATCAGCTCTGTCTGGGGTGTTAGGGACATTTTCATAGAGAAGGTTATAGGTAAGTTGGGGCTTGAAGGATGAGTAGGTATCAGCCAGGTGGAGGAAACAGCACACACTCTTTAAAAGAAGGCTGGTGCACGTCCTGTTCCTCCCTACCCTTTTTATCCTTCTTCACCCATTCCTCCATCCTGCTGTGGGCATATGAGCTCTAACCATTCTCTTAGATTATGAGGACAAGAGCCACAAACTAGGATGGCAAAGTCATAAGTTGTTATTCTGAGTCTCTGTTACTTGCAACTGAATCAAATCCTAACTGATGCAAGTGATAATATCTTTTCTTTGAATGTTGTGTGCTATCACTGCAAAACATTATATCCGTAACACATCACCTGTGATTTCCAGTTTTGGTTTCTTTAAAGCAGGGTTTCTCAACCTCAGCATTATTGACATTTTGGACTAGATAGCTCTTTTTTGTGGGAAGCTGTCCTGTGAATTGTAGGATGTTTAGTAGCATCCCTGGTCTCTACCCACCAGATGCCAGTAACACCACTGAGTCATGACGATCAAAAATGTTTCCACCAGAAGAACTAGATGGTGCCCGGCTACCACCGATGACTGCCCTGACAGGGAACACAACAGACACTCCGTGACGGAGCAGGACAAAAGTGGGGTACAGAACTCAAATTCTAGTAAAAAGACTAGACTTAATGAGCTGAGACTGGAGGAACCCCAGAAGACACAGCCCCAGGACTCTCTGTTAACCCAGGACTAAAACCATTCCCAAAGCGAACTCTTTAGACGAAGATTAGACTGGACTATGGGACATAAAATGATACTCGTGAAGAGTGTGCTTCTTAGTTCAAGTAGATACACGAGACTAAATGGGCCGCTCCCTTCCAGAGGCGAGATGAGAAGGCAGAAATGGATAGGAGCTGGTTAAATGGACACGGGAAATCTGGGGTGGAAAGGAGGAGTGTGCGGTCACATTATAGGAATAGCAACTAGGGTCACATAACAAAGTGTGTATAAATTTTTGTATGAGAAACTATCTTGAGCTGTAACGTTTCACCTAAAGCACAATTAAAAAAAAAAAATGTGTCCAGACATTCTAAATGTCCAGGCATTCAAAACTGCTCCCAGCTGAGAACCATTGCTTTATAGTGAGAATTTAGACATTTACAAAACAACCTGGTATACAATTTTTTGAAATTTCCCCCAAATTACAGTTGTTTTATCTATACCTAATTCAACGGCAATATTTTGTAGCAATTTATCTTTTAGTATGTCTTTCAAAAGCATTTGATGTTATTCTCATATGTTGTTGCTAATTGCCATTGAGTCAATTCCAACTCATGGCGACTCCATGTGTGCAGAGTAGAACTGTTGCATTTTCAATGGCTGTTAGCTTTCAAAAGCAGATCACCAGCTCTGTCTCCCGAGGTGCCTCTGGGTAGGTTTGAATCGCCAACCTTTCAGCTATTTCTTTATACTCATGTTTATGCAGTCTTTATATTTTTAATTAAAATTAGACTGGCAAGTGGCATAAACAGGTTTGCAAACAAACACATGTGAATGTTAGTAAGAATACAACTCCACTGTTGGGAAATAAAATCCACTGACATACAAGAGAGTCATCTATCTACAATCAGCAATATGCTGGGGGAATTAGAGGAAACGGAGAGGGTCATTTATGTGGCAAATTATTTAAGCGGACAGTGGCTGAATGAGTTTTTACTGTTAAAAACCAGTAGTTCCAAAATGTGGCTGCACATAGGCACGTCTTTGGAAGCTTGTTAAAATACTGACTTGGGGCCTCACCTGAGACCTAGTGAATCAGAATCTCTAGGGGTAGAGTCCATAAACGCAGAGGTCTAGGAAATTCTGATTCAGCGAGGATTAGGTTTAGGAGCCACTGTTCCTAATCATCTTGGCATCAGCTCACTTTGAGTACTTAATGAAATGTAACAAAAATGTACACAGACACATGATTTTGCATACAATTTCAGGGAACCCTGCTCTAGAAACTTTCTGCCTCCTCCTTTTGTAACCAAAACACAGATTGTCTAGGTCCCATTCTCTCAGTGGGTGACTAGGTTAACAATTTACTAATCCAAATCAGTCTATTTAGCCTGAACGTTTTGAATTGTTTTATAGTTCGACAGGAGTTTTCAAACGCTTTATCTCAAAGAATGACTAATATATGAATTTCAGGGAGCATTAACAAGTTGGTAAGGAGGGTTTTATTTTATTTTATTTTATTCAAGCAGAGACATTTGATGTCCCTCAGATCCCTGCAGGATCTGCCCACCTGGAGGACAATGTTGGTGTTCCACTCTGTTTCCTGTCTGATTCTCATGATTTCAAAGCTGGGATTGGTTACTCACCGTTTAACTTGATGACATTCAGGTTGTTTACTTCTTGGATTTTAAAACTCTGAGCTGAGATATAAGTTGAAATGTACGGTTTTTATCCTTATCAATGAAGTCAAATAATTTCGTTAATAAATTGTGCCTCCATAAACCTTTAGTTTTATTAATTTACCCAAATTTGTGCCAAATAAAAAATTCAAAACAGGTTCATCATCTAGTAGGCTCTAAAATTACACCCCATGAAATGCAAATTACAGGAAGAGAATTCAACCCCGGCAGCAGAAAAGTCCTCAAAACTTTAAAGGACTCTACTCTCCGGTATAGGGCCACCTGATAAATTTATTTATTCTTTAGCAGAATATTAATTTTTATAGAAGGATAAGATGTGCTTTAAAGGAATTCTTTGGATTTTCTACTATAAGACTTTTCTTCTGAAAGATTCTTGTAAACTTTACTGGATATATTCACTCATTTATTCACTCGATAAATGAGTAAGATTTTAAGATAGACATTGTGGGAGATATAAAGACAAAGAAAAATTGAATCCTGCCTGCAAGAAGCTTAGGGTCTAGTAAAGGAGTCAAGAAATACATGTGGCAGTCTTGAAGGGTCAGTAGAATTTAGATATAGAGGACTGAGGTTGGGAGACCGTATATCTCAGGAAAGAAAACAGACAAATAAGCAAAGGCACTATGCTGGTGAGGGAAGTGTTCAACATGAAAGCAAGCAGTTTAAAGAAACATCCAAAGCCCTTTCATGATCAAAACACTCAACAAACTAGAAACAGAAGGGAACTTCCTCAATCTGACAAAGGGTATCTACAAAATAACCATAGCTAATATCATATTTAATGGTGAAGACTGAACGCTTTCCCCTAATATCAGGAACAAGGATGTCAACTCTTGCCACTTGACTATTCAGCATGGTACTAAAGATTCTAGCCAGTGCTATCAGGCAAGAAAAAGAAATAAAAGGCACTCAGATTGGAAAGGAAGAAATAAAACTAATTCTATTCTCAGATGACATTACCATGTATATAGAAAATCCTAAAGAATCATCAACAACAACAAGAAAAAATCCTGTTTTTCATGCTAGGCACCTCATTAATAAGTAAGTTCAGCTAGGTTGTAAAATACAAAATCAATATACAAAAATCAATTGTATGTCTAAGCCCCGTAAAACCAAATGAGACTAACGAGGTACAGGAGTCCAGTGCCAAGGGCCAGAAGGCAGAAGGGGACAGGGAGGCTGGTGATGGGGAACCCAAGGTTGAGTAAGGATATTGTTGATGTGTTGTGAGATTGTTAACCACTGTCATAGGGCAACATTTGTAGTAACTGTTAAATGAGAAACTATTTTGTTCTGTAAGCCTTCGCCTTAAGTGAGAATAACAGCACAATTGGAAGAGCATAGTCAATGTCACTGAACCGTGTATGTAGAAATTTTTGAAACGGTGTATCTTTGGCTATGTGTATTTTCACCAAAAAAAAAAGGTTGAGAAGTTAGAGGGTTAATCTGTTGTGGGGTTGTTAACCAATGTCATAAAACAACATGTGTACTACTGTTTCATGAGAAACTATTTGTTCTGTAAGCCTTCACCTCAAGTACAATAAAATATATAAAAAAAAAAAATCAATTGTATGTCTACAGCAACAACCAAAAATGAAATTAAGAAAATAATTTCATTATAATAGTATCAAAAAGAATAAAATACTTAGAAATAAATTTAACAGAGTGCAAGACTTATATACTAAAACTACAAAGCATTACTGAAACTAAAGAACACATAAATAAATGTAAAGACATCCCATGTTTATGGATCAGAGGACTTAATATTGTTAATATGGCAATACTCTGCAAATTGAGCTACAGAGTCAATGCAATCCCTATGAAAATCCTAGCTGTCTTTTTCTGCAGAACTTGACAAGTTGATCTTAAAATGTATATGGAAATGCAAAGGACCCAGAATAGCCAAAACAAACTTGAAAAAAAGATCAAGGTGGGAAGATTTGTACTTCTCAATTTCAAAACTTACTTCAAAGGTATAGTAACCAAGACAATGTGGTACTGGCATGAGGACAAACATATAATTTAGAGCAGCAAAAGCTATGGGAAAGCAGTGGAAGGTATTGTTAGAAAGGTAGGCCGAGATAAAGAAGTTAGACTTACTCTGCAGGCCTGGAAAAGTCCCTGAAGGTTTTACACAGAGATATGCTATACTTGGAGTTAAGGTTTTCAAGAGTAATTGCAGCTGCAGTGTATAGCACAAATTGAAAAATGGAGCTACAGAGGGTTGGGGAAAACCAGTTAGGGGGTTACTGTGCTAGTCTAGGTACGACGTAAGAGGGGTCCAAAAATGGAGTAATAACAATGGAAATGGAGAAGATAAACTAAAGATCTCTTGTGTGATTCATTCCTTTAATAATTCTATACAAATTGAGCAGGGTCCTGTAGCACTAGCTTCCTAAGTCTGAGTGCCTCCTTAAATTTTGCATGCTAGGCACCTCCCTTGCCTTACCCTACTCCCAGCCCTGAGCCAGAGGTGGGATTATCCCCATTTTCTGAAAGAAAATCAAACCCAAGAAAACTCAGTCATTTAATCAAAAAATATTATTGGGCACCCACTATGTACTAAAGACTGGGCACTTAATAATAAATAAGACATCATCCCTGACCACAGAAGTACCATATACATTTTACTGGGGGAGATAGGCAAACAGGCAATTACCATTCAATACTATGATGGGATAGTGAAGATTAAGAGTATTGGTTCTGGAGTCAGACTGCTTGGATTGAGACCACAATTCCACCACTTTCTATGTGATCTCGGCTGGGGAGATAATAATGATAACTGCCTTGTAGTGCTATAAAAGATTAAACAGGTTAGTTATATATAAAGCATTTATAACAATGCCTGGAATACAGTAAGTGGTATCTAAGAATGGTGATGATGATGATGATGCAGTACAGGTTGAACGGAAGCATAAAGAAAGTACCTTTATATCTGCTTTGGCGGGAAGGAGTAGAGTAGGAAGGCTTCTTGCAAGAGGTGGAATCTGAGTGGAACACTCAAAGAAGAGCTGGTAAAAACGAAGGAAAAAGTATTTCAGGCAGAGCAAGGATGAGTAAAGGCTAGAAAAGAAAATATTTGAGAAAATGCTCAGTACAGCTGGAGCAGGTAGGAAGCAG